TGGGAGAGAAACACCATCATGAGGAAGGAGCGGCCTTTCACCTCTTCGTTTTTATCTTAAAGACTCTGCTCAGGCAGAGGAAATCGTCGTCACGGTAAACTCTCGCCTGGAGTTATAGTAAGAAGCCCATACATGTTGTTGATTACCATGTACTCTGTCACCTAAGGAGATCTCCGCCAGTGGAGAATGTAGGCTCTTTTTTTTTTTTACTCAATTTCTATGCATCTGGATATCCCCTCAGTTACTTCAAGTTTGCGCTTTCAATCCGCTTGAGGGACAATGTATGTCTTAGCCAGCGGGAGGATGGTATCTCATTCTTTCTAATTCCCTTCCATAATGATGGTTGATTCGCAGACAAGCGGGAAAACGCCGTCAATTTGGAGGACCGCATGAAAGCACTATATCCAAACTCCAGGACGACGATGTTGAAGGATAATCATACGAAGAGCAGCGTCCCACTTGTTGCATACTCTCACCTATGTTCGCTTCTCAAGTGTTAGGACCTTCAAGTTGGTCTACACGTCGGAGTTACTAGAGTAGGATTAACCATTGGATGTCTGGTTACTTCAGAGGCTGAGTAAATAGACTCATGATCAGGATAAGAGAGCGAAGGTAATTGCTTTCCGGTGGGGGAATAGCCCCCGGAGGAAGAAAACCTCACCTCACCCGGTAACACCCGCGCGTCAAATTAGAGCACCCATCCGTACGGGAAAATTAGTCTCATATAGAAGCGTTTTCGCTCAAACAAAGTCACCCAGTCAGTTACGCCCTCTGCCTAGCTGGAACAACAAGCAGTGACGAGAAGGACCCTGAAAAGGGTTATCAATCTCCTCGCGAGTAATATACCTTGGTATGTGGTATAGACGGTAGGCAAACATTAGTCAACGGAAAACCCTCCCCTTCTCCCTAACTCAAAGTTGTACCACGGAACCTGAAAAAGTACAATGGAAGCACAAAAAAACGTAGAATTAGTAATGGTCGGATGTTAAGATATCGCCTCACAAGGAGAGCGAGATGATGCTTTCAATGAGAGAATCCTCATGTTGGTGTCTATGTGTTATGACGACGGGCTCAACCCCGATGATATCCCTTTCGAGAATGTGGAAGTATATGGTCAGGAAGCGATAGTCACAGTAGACGAGCATTTCGATGTGGTCAAGGTAAAATGGTTAAAGGACTCGGAAATGACCGTGGTAATCATCTTCAAAGATGAAGCAAGGAGCCTCCTCATAAAATTAAATGAGGATTTAGTTTGAGCGCATGAATATGGATGGAAATGGGAAAAGATTTTCGACCCACCATCAATGGCAAAGGGCATAATTAAATTATAAGACTCAAATGTTGTATCATACGTCGAATGCAAGAAGGTCGAATTGAAAAAGAGGAGATATGTGTTCGAAATGAAGGGTTGGATGCCAAAAGAAGAATGAATTTAAACTGATCGAATTGGAAAATACGCTTTGGGTGATGGCAGTTAAAATCTTGCTTGACGCTTACTTTTACCTTCAATCTGCATTTAAACTCGTGATCGGAATGGTGGTGAAGATGGATTCCCTCGATCGCTTCTCCTTTAACCTTAGATTACTAAATATTCAATGTAAATTATATCCGAAAAACAGATCTAGGTTTGTTGATAGCCTTTGGGTTAAAACAAAGAAGGGCGGCATGGTAGAGGTCTGATTAGTCACGATCTCGACTCCCTGCTGTACGAAGGCAAGTGGTTTTTCCACACAGAATGAAACTTGCACAAGAAGCAAGAGCAATAACAACAGACGTCGTAGTCAGTTTAAACAAAGACAGACAGTTGAGACCAATGAGGATGAGGACGATAGGTCCTCAATCATTTTCAACTCATATTCTGGTTCCAACTCTTGTATAGGCGGTAGACAAGGTGACCTGAAATACAAAGGTTCGCTATCACACCACGGATCCGACAGCCCAACATTGCGAAGCATGGTGTTTTGCACAAATAGGTCACTTGCATGAATGTACGAACGGGAGATGGATACCAGAAACAAAACCAGAAACGAAATTATGTCTCTCTCCAACTTAGTGTTCTCACCCGGACTAGGGGGGAACCAGATCCCTACGCAGGTAATTTTCACTTGGGTATGGATGACTTGTCAGACCAACAAAGAGACTTTTATCCCTCTCCATACAACCACTTCAAATTGATTGTTCTGACCATGACCTACCTCATGGACAGTGAAGGACAGCATCAAATGGAACCTCCTCTACCAGGTAGAAATTACCTTCCAATCACTTGCCTGATTCGCCCGGTCCTGATCAGGGCAAGCACCGGAGTCCACCATAGGGTAGGCCCCTCGGTTGCCTTACAAATAAGGAAGGGGTCGCCACGTCAGCAGTAAACGTACATGACCGCAATGCGAGGGGTCAGTCTCCACTAAAGGCACCCATAACAATCAGACCAGGAGTTAATCCTGCAGGCGCACTGCTATTGAAGGCAGCACCGAATGCTATAAACGAAGGATCTCGGATCTCGGCAACAAGCAAGGTTGCATCGTCTACATCAACACCTCTGCAAAGTAAAAAAGTGATATTATAATACCATTACCACAAACTGAAGTAAAGACTTCTAAAAGTCGTAAGACAATCACAGTCTCAAACGACTTTCCAATTTTTATAGAGAAATAGTTGATACCTTTGGTATGTACAATCGTGAATGACGCTATCCATGTTATTGCATAGTAACCTGAGAATTAAAAAATTAGCTTTCTGACGCAGCCAATTGAAGAACATGTTACACCACAGGGCATCATTGTTTTTGTGGCATGTTTTTGGGGATCGTTTTCCCTTAAGACGCGTACCAGATATGACAATGCCTAAACTGTACAAAAAATTGACAGATAAAACCTGCAATTTTTTTACTCCTCTGTTGCATGCCTTCATCACACCCAATGGATTGGATACCCTCCTCTTTGAGGATATGAGAATGATCCCACTGTCAGTTTTCATCAAGGAAGACATTGATTTCTTACAGTAGATAAAGGTGCAGAACGTCTCAGATGTGGGCTTTCTAGGCAAACTCAACGAGAAACTGCCCCGCAACAAACCTTTGCAAACCATTTATTTGAAAAACGTTATCGCCTATAAGTGGGTCCCCTCCTCTACCACAAGCTCCTCCTCAAAGGGGCATGGTCGCCCCCACCCCTCCAATAAGCATCGCACCCCCCCCCCTATCCAATCCAGGGCACACCAACTTGAACAACGCATGAATGGATAAACTCAATATATTTTCGTGGAATCTCGGGGGTTGGAGGACACAACTATGAAGGTCAAAATGTCACAGTCTCCTATAATCTCAGGGGGTTAGAGAATATGACTATGAAGGGCAAAAGGTCACGGTCTCTTGGAATCTCAGGGGGCTAGAGGACACGACTAGGAAGGGCAAAAAATCACAACTTAAGTTTTTATTGCATCATCATCGTATCCAGGTCAGGAATACAAATTCGATGAAAGGAAAATTAAAGAACTCGATTATTGGGGGGACGAACCAAGACTTTGGTCACCAACAATCGAAAACATGAGCGGTGTCAGAATCCTGCTCGAACAAAACCTCTTATTCCAGATCATTGATTATGCCACAGACCTGTGGGGGAGTTGGGGGGTCAAGTTCTCTGCTTTTGGCTCAAACTCGGGAGTTAAGACGATATATATACATGTTGATAAATTTGTAAGGAACATATTTTTTCAGGATTTGATCTCCTGCACCCCTGGTGGATAACCTACCAGTTGTAAGAGACTGAAACACCTCACTTGACGATTTCATGAAACCCTCAACATCTACCCCATATGTTAATACCCTGGTTGAATACATGACATACCTAGAAGTATGCGATGCGTTTAGGTTAATGCACCCATCAAACCCTGGTTTTGTCTGGGGCTCTTTGACCTCATAAGGAAATAATGTAGGCTGATGCGTGAGGTTAGATATTGTTCTTCTTAATTCTGCCTGAAAAGATATCATGCTGAGCATCGAAGTGGTAAGGAACCTAACGACATATCATTATCTAGTAAAGTATTCCTTTTAGTTACTGGACATATTAACTGATAGGGGCAGTGGCTATTTCAAGCTTAATATACAAACCTCAAAGACCCAGGCCTATCGGTCTGAGTAGAGAAATTTTTAAGAAAATGGTCATAAACGCAATAAATTTTTCAGAATGCATCAGAATGGTTATGATAGTTCGTCAATAGGTGAAGGAGCGCATGCAAATCCACCCGGTTTCGACATGTGTCTAGGGCCCTTAGAGAGCCAACCTGCTCGCAAAATGGGATGATCTCCCGTAAGTAAGGGCAGAGGAATGGGTCGAGAGGCTCACCGTTAAAGGTATATGTATATTTGTATATGACAGAATGTCCAAAGAAGTCAGCCAGAGATTGCTGCTCAAGCAGGCAACTCAATCGATGACAATATTTCACCACATGTTTGTACCAGAGGCAAAAACCGCCTTTGCTTCAGATGCCATGTTTACTTACGCAACATTGTACCTTAAAGATGTACTTACATCCCGAAAACCAGGACAAAACGTGGACGCGAACCTTGCAGAAGATTCATCCCAATGGCATTGGGGAAACCTTCATGTTCAACTCACCAACAATGGCAGGCTAAACTTGGATCATCAAATCACAGTGGAGGAAATCATGTCCACAGTAAGCAGAATGGGCAGAGGCAAGACCCCGGCCAAGGATGAATTTCTAGTATAATTCTATGCACAGTTTGGTAAGTCCCTCTTTCCTCACTTCGTTGAGATCTTTAATGAAGCACTTACGGACGACACTCTGTCGAAAGGCATGACACACGACATTATCATCATGTTGTATAAAAAAAAGGGACAAAATCAAGATCCGGAATTAGAGGTTCATTTCTCTGCTCAAGATATCATATAAAACTTAGCAAAATTGTTCGCAAACAGGTTAGGTAGATACGTACCGGATCTCATACACATGTGGTTAACCAGGGGTGTTATTTTCGATGAATTTTGCACTGAAGCACATTTTGCTGACTTTTTTTTTTTTTTTTTCATGTGACATATATGTGCTTTATGTTACGTCATGTGTCTACTTTTGACATGTTTGGATCAATAATGAAAACATTGATAAGTTGTCAGTTGTCCGATGGAGAGATGTCTCCAGAAGACTGTAAAAGGGGAGTCGTCCGGAATTTCGAACAACGATTTTTTGCCAAAAAATAAATAAATAAAATTGAGGGGGTCTGCGCATCACTAAGGGACCCCCCTAGAAAAAATTAAAGTTGTTTTGAGCAAAAACGAAAAACAAATCCAAAAACAGTGTGTGAGGTGTAATTATGGGGTGTGGGGGTTATGGATTGCTTGGGGAGTTCAAATGGATGACCCCCTGCTGCAGTCAGCAACTGCTGCACATCATGCAGGGACTGCAGCTGCTTCGTCTGACGCAACGTATGGACCATATGCTCTGGTAGATTCAACAACTGCATTCGTGCACACACACACGCACACACACACACACACACTTACATACACACACACACAATAATTGCGGTCGACATGCCTTTGTGTTCCGTATGTAGGAGCTACGTAGCCTGCGACATCTGCTTACACCATGCCATTAGATGCGAAAACTGTGATTGAGAAAATTGGATGCGTTGCTTCCGTAACCCACACCCGAACTGGTCTTGTCCGGTCAGTAGGGGTGGTCACTTGTCATAGGTATTAACTGCTCCTCAACCCGATTTGCAAACCTGTGTCATCTAGAGTGGTCTGTTACAACGGTAAATATTTAGGATTCTGCGAAGCTCGTCATAAATCTCTTCCCTGCCCTTTGCATGACATACTTTATCCTGCCTTTCACATATTTTTTTCTTGCCCTTTGCCCCCACCTCTCCTGCCCCATACTCCTATACAACTCTACCTTCTATCCCTTTCCCTCCACCGTCCCTTTCACTCATTTTGTGTTACTAACAAATGCATACGAATGGGCATCGTTAAGGGAACAAGCGATATGAAGATAAAAAATAAAATGAAGGACGGATACAAAGACTGTATAACCTAAAGATTTGAAGTGAAATGAACAGGAGTGTGAAGGTCTTAAGAGAAATGCATCGGAGCATAACTTTCCTTTTACTCCACCTCATGAAATAACGTGCAAGTGAGCCTTGAAGGCATAGGGGGTTATGGGCAGTTGTCACTCAACCACAATCAACGTTGGTAGCCTTGTACGTAAGAGGAACAGTAAAAAGGGAGTTGCAAAAACAGTGGAAGGGATACCCTGAGGACAAAAAAAAAAAAAAGTTTAATTATAAAATTGCTTTCATATGTTGGACTGTGACTATCTCATCTCAAATGCTCTCATTGTCTGCAATAAGATAAAATGTCAAAAACTGCTTTCGTTCTGAATCTATTCATCTGAGTAGAATTGAGGTTGTTGTGGGGAAAATCTATAACGCGCGCGCATACACACACACACACACACACATACACAACTTGAAATACACACATATACATACACACACACACACACACACACACATTCTATCCACATGCAAACACACAGAGTGACA